CTTGTTTTGGCTGAACTATCAAGAGATCATCCTGGGGATACTGAGGGGGTTAATATTCTTACAGAAACAAATATATGAAACAGGAAGCCCAGACAGAGAACCAACCGCAGAAAGTGCAACTCCCTCTGCCACAGTCTCTCAAGTGGCACTGTGCAAGCTGTCCGGTGACGTAAAATGCCACTTGACTGCCACAAGGACGGAAGTTGCAGACCCTGCGCACATCCTGAGCAAGGGGGAACTACAAGTCTCAGTGTGGACTGCTCTAAATGGGCGGTGTCACCCTGTGAGGTAGTTACTGCGTCTGCAAGTATTGCGCAAACTGTCAACTCAGCAATCAAATGTGGCATCCAAAACCATCAGCCTTACGCCAAATCCTACCCTTTATACCTCACCCCTCACAGCGTCAAAGGATGTTTATTCTAAAGCAGAGGTCTCCCAAACTTTCTAAACATAAAGGGCTCTTTTACTGTCCCTCAGACTTTAGGAGGGCCGGACTGGCCATTTGGAGCAGAAAAGGTCCTGATGTCAGTGAGAGGAATGGCGCCCCAACAGTAGTGTCATTGGGAGGAATTCTGTCCCACCATTTGTGTCACTTGGCCCCATTGTTGGTGTAATTGGGAGGAATTGAGCTGTGGTAGAACAGCCCTGAGCGGCGGTAGAACAGCCCTAAGTGGTGGTAGAACAGCCCTGAGCGGTGGTAGAACAGCCCTAAGCGGTGGTAGAACAGCCATGAGCGGCGGTAGAACAGCCCTGAGCGGCGGTAGGTAGAACAGCCATGAGTGGTGGTAGAACAGCCCTGAGCGGTGTAGTAGAAAAGCCCTGAGCGGTGGTAGAACAGCCCTGAGCGGCAGTAGAACAGCCCTGAGCGGTAGAACAGCCCTAAGTGGCGGTGAGCCCTGAGCGGTGGTAGAACAGCCCTGAGCGGTGGTAGAACAGCCCTGAGCGGTGGTAGAACAGCCCTGAGCGGTGGTAGAACAGCCCTTAGCGGTGGTAGAACAGCCCTGAGCATTGGTGAGCCCTGAACAGTGGTAGAACAGCCATGAGCTGTGGTAGAACAGCCCTGAGCGGAGCGGCGGTAGAACAGCCCCTGAGCGGCGGTAGAACAGCCCTGAGCGGCGGTAGAACAGCCATGAGAGGTGGTAGAACAGCCCTGAGCATTGGTAGAACAGCCCTGAGCGGTGGTAGAACAGCCCTGAGCGGTGGTAGAACAGCCATGAGCGGTGGTAGAACAACCCTGAGCGGTGGTAGAAAAGCCCTGAGCTGTGGTAGAACAGCCATGAGTGGTGGTAGAACAGCCCTGAGCATTGTAGAACAGCCCTGAGCTGTGGTAGAACAGCCCTGAGTGGTGGTAGAACAGCCCTGAGCGGTGGTAGAACAGCCCTGAGCGGTGGTAGAACAGCCCTGAGTGGTGGTAGAACAGCCCTGAGCGGTGGTAGAACAGCCCTGAGCGGTGGTAGAACAGCCCTGAGTGGTGGTAGAACAGCCCTGAGCATTGGTAGAACAGCCCTGAGCGTTGGTAGAAAAGCCCTGAGCTGTGGTGAACAGCCATGAGTGGTGGTAGAACAGCCCCTGAGCTGTGGTAGAACAGACACGAGCGGTGGTAGAACAGCCCTGAGCTGTGGTAGAACAGCCCTGAGCATTGGTAGAACAGCCCTGAGCTGTGGTAGAACAGCCATGAGTGGTGGTAGAACAGCCCTGAGCTGTGGTAGAACAGACACGAGCGGTGGTAGAACAGCCCTGAGCTGTGGTAGAACAGCCCTGAGCTGTGGTAGAACAGCCCTGAGCATTGGTAGAACAGCCCTCAGCTGTGGTAGAACAGCCATGAGTGGTGGTAGATTCAGCTAAATACATCTATTACAGCCCAGCATCTCGGCAGGCCCCATTCAATCATTGCCCCCCCCCAATGTGAGACTCGGGGACACACTGGTGTGCTCAAGGACAATCAAAAGTTTCTCAAACTTCCAACCTATCACCAAAATCTATAGTCACTCTTTATGGGGCCAGAAAAACAGGTCTATGGTAAAAAAAAAAAAAAGTATTCACGGACGTGTGTGATTGGCCTGAAGGCATGAAACCCTGATAAGATGGCCTGTGGAAGAGAAGAAAGATATTCTGCCCTGTGGCAGAGGTGACTCGTGTGAAGGTGGTATGAATGGAGCAGGTATGAAAAGACAAAATGGGGGAAGTAACACCCCCAACAGGGTGTCTTGACAATGGCCCCATGATGAGGTCAAACATGTCATACTTATCTGCTTTGTGTAATGGTTTTGCACAGAGCAGCCTTGATCCTCATCTTCTTGATGATGCTCCTGGCTCCTCCCCCTTGACAAGTGCCCCAATTGCAAGCTGCTTGCTATGGGGGTATTGGTGTGGGCTTGCTCCTGAGCCCAGCTCCATGCATCCATAAGACACGTAGACCAGCTGCTCTCCTCATTGGCTCACTGGCTGTGATTGACAGCAGCGGGAGCCGATAGCTCCCGCTGCTGTGTCTCAGCCAATGGAGACAGAGATCTAGGACAGCCGAGGCTCCCTTGCAGATCACCGGATCGAGAGGGGATTCAGGTAAGTATTATAGGGGGCTGTGGGGGGAGCAGAAGGCAGATTTATTCTATGCATGAAAGTAAAAATCCTTCAGTCTTTACAACCACTTTAAGGAGCTTACAATTTAAAGTCCTTACTTCACATACATACACATATTAGGGCCAATTTAGACAAGAGTCAATTGCCTGCCATTAGGTCTTTGGGTTATGGGAGGAAACCAGATAATCACAGGGGGAACATGCAAACGTCATGCAGATGGTGTCCTGGTCAGAATGGAAGACTCCAGTGCTGCATGGTAGGAGTAGAAATCACTAAGCCATTGTGCTGCCCATATAATGGTGGTAGGCGATAACGAAAAGTCATGACTTAGTAACACCTGGAATCCCTGGGAAGAGAAAAGGATTCAACTCTCAATCTGTATTTCTCAAAAGCACCCTTTATAAAAACAACCCATTTCAGAGTCATAGAGGGAAGGACTATTCCTGCTGTCCATGGCATCCAATGGATTGGTCCTTTCTATATGCCAGGGGATGATAAAAGGAAATCTGGCTGCTGCATCAAAAAAGGTCCCTTATTTCTTTCCCTCTTTATGAGGCAAGTTGTCCGTTCTGAAATCCAGGTGACAAAACCTGACCATGCCGAAAAGACAAGCCAGGCACTAGTCTACACTCTAGATCAGGGTTTCTCAACCAGGATTCCGTGGAACCCTAGGGTTCCTCCAGAGGTTGCATGGGGTTCCTGGATCAATGAGTAATTTTTGCCTCTCAGGTAAGTTCCCACTGACACCATTGATCTTTTTAGCTATCTGTAAGGGGGTAATTCTTTGACCCCAATGACCACAAGTGTAAGGAGCATTCTTCCTGATGACCACAAGTGGAAGGAGCATTCTTCCCAATGACCACAAGTGGAAGGAGCATTCTTCCCAATGACCACAAGTGTAAGGAGCATTCTTTCCCAATGACCACATGTGGAAGGAGCATTCTTCCCAATGATGACAAGTGTAAGGAGCATTCTTCCCACTGACCACAAGTGTAAGGAGCATTCTTCCCAATGACCACATGTGGAAGGAGCATTCTTCCCAATGATGACAAGTGTAAGGAGCATTCTTCCCAATGATGACAAGTGTAAGGAGCATTCTTCCCAATGACCACATGTGGAAGGAGCATTCTTCCCAATGATGACAAGTGTAAGGAACATTCTTCCCAATGACCACAAGTGTAAGGAGCATTCTTCCCAATGACCACATGTCTAAGGAGCATTGTTCCCAATGACCACATGTCTAAGGAGCATTCTTCCCAATGACCACAAGTGTAAGGACCATTCTTCCCAATGACCACAAGTGTAAGGAGCATTCTTCCCAATGACCACAAGTGTGAGGAGCATTCTTCCCAATGACCACATGTCTAAGGAGCATTCTTCCCAATGACCACAAGTGTAAGGAGCATTCTTCGCATGACCACATGTCTAAGGAGCATTCTTCCCAATGACCACAAGTGTAAGGAGAATTCTTCCCAATGACCACAAGTGTAAGGAGCATTCATCCCAATGACCACAAGTGTAAGGAGCATTCATCCCAATGACCACATGTCTAAGGAGCATTCTTCCCAATGACCATAAGGAGCACACATGTCTAAGGATTCTTCCCAATGACCACAAGTGTAAGGAGCATTCATGACCACAATTGTAAGGATAATTGTAGATAAAGCCATTTTTAGCAGGGGTTCCCTGAGACCGGACAGTTATGTCAAAGGTTCCTCTGTGTTGAAAAGGTTGAGAAAGGCTGCTCTAGATGTAAAAGAGACGCCTCCAATATTAGTCTCTTCGATGGGCAAAGAATGGCATTGCCAACTTCCTTCTGAAAATGCCAACTTATCGTAATACAGATCCATGACTTTAGCACTCTTGGATTCACAGGCCTTAAACGAGCAAGCAACCAGTGAAGTCCAATTGCATATTTGTTCTAGGTCTGTGACTCAGGAAGTATCACAGACATCAGGTCATTTCAGCCACACAAGTGGCATTTTCAGAAAGAGAGCAATAGCAGACCCCATATATATTTCAGGTACAGGTCTCCATTCAGTTGCTGCCAAACTAGCTGCAGACAAGGCCAGTGCTTGTGATCACACTGAAAAAATAACATTAATGGTCCAGTTCACTTCTAGTTTAATCACATTTCTGTCAATCAAGCCCCGATGAAGGGGGTGCTCTTGGACCTCAGAACCACGTTGGCAACTTTTTTGAATTGTCACCCTGACATATCAGAATAAAGTTGTATCTGGACCCCTTAGCGGTGGCGTGGTGCTTCACAGGATGGGAGAAGGTTTATTCACAGATTGGAAACACGATGTCTGATCATTTAAAGTGTGCTGTATGCTGCTGTGTACCTTCCAACAACCAGGAGGACCCCGGATGCCCAACCTGTGGTCTAGAAGCTGCATGCAGCCCTTTGGCTCTTTTTGTGTGGCCTTCGGGGCCCATGCAGATGCATATCTATGTTTCCCTATTGCCTGTCATAGTTCTAGCAGCCTCATTTAATATATCTCCAGTCTACGACTGTCTCCTGAAACATTTCCCCAGTCTCCAACAACTTTTCTAGCAAGTCCACTGTCTCCGACAGTCTCCTACAGCTTATGTGCGATCTCTGACCACTTCTTGTATCATGTCTGCAAACTCTGACAATCTTTTGTATCATGTCTGCAGTCTCTGAGCACCTCTTGTATCATGTCTGCAGTCTCTGACCATCTCTTGTATCATGTCTATGTCTACACTCTCTGACCATTTCTCTTGTATCATGTCTACACTCTCTGACCATCTCCTGTATCATGTCTGCAGTCTCTGACCATCTCCTGTATCATGTCTGCAGTCTCTGACCATCTCCTGTATAATGTCTGCAGTCTCTGACCATCTCCTGTATCATGTCTGCAGTCTCTGACCATCTCCTGTATCATGTCTGCAGTCTCTGACCATCTCCTGTATAATGTCTGCAGTCTCTGACCATCTCCTGTATAATGTCTGCAGTCTCTGACCATCTCCTGTATAATGTCTGCAGTCTCTGACCATCTCTTGCATCATGTCTGCAGTCTCTGACCATGTTTTGTATCATGTCTGCAGTCTCTGACCATGTTTTGTATCATGTCTGCAGTCTCTGACCATGTTTTGTATCATGTCTGCAGTCTCTGACCATGTTTTGTATCATGTCTGCAGTCTCTGACCATGTCTTGTATCATGTCTGCAGTCTTTGACCATGTCTTGTATCATGCCCCCATTCTCTGATTACCTCTTGTATCAAGTGTGCAGTCTCTGACCATCTCTTGTATCATGCCCCCAGTCTCTGATTACCTCTTGTATCAAGTGTGCAGTCTCTGACCATCTCTTGTATCATGTTTGCAGTCTCTGACCATGTCTTGTATCATGCCCCCAGTCTCTGATTACCTCTTGTATCAAGTGTGCAGTCTCTGACCATCTCTTGTATCATGCCCCCAGTCTCTGATTACCTCTTGTATAAAGTGTGCAGTCTCTGACCATCTCTTTTAACGTGTCTCCAGTCTATGATCATCTCTTGTATCAAGCCTCCAGTCTGACCATCTCTTGTATCATGTCCGCAGTCTCTGGTCATCTCTTGTATCATGTCCACAGTCTCTGGCCATCTCTTGTATCATGTCTGCAGTCTCTGGTCATCTCTTGTATCATGTCCACAGTCTCTAGCCATCTCTTGTATCATGTCTGCAGTCTCTGGTCATCTCTTGTATCATGTACGCAGTCTCTGACCATCTCTTGTATCATGTCCACAGTCCCTGACCATCTGTTGTATCATGCCTGCAGTCTCTGGCCATCTCTTGTATCATATACGCAGTCTCTGACCATCTGTTGTATCATGTACGCAGTCCCTGACCATCTCTTTTATCTTGTATGACCATCTCTTGTACTTTGACTGCAGTCTATGAGCATCTCCTGTATTACGGTCACAGTCTCTGACCATCTCTTGTATCATGTCCATAATCTTTCACTAAATCCTGTTGCATGTCTGATGTCCCTGATAATTAATATTCACTGAATTTTAAGTGCAGCCCTTTGGTGATATCGGGGGCCGCACTTGGGACCCTCAATATTAAGAGAGCTGACCACCACTGGGGCACACAAACTCTATTTAGAACATAAAGGCACTCAGCAGGGTGAATACATGCTTTCAGCACTGGAACCTTGATCCTAATATTTCTATGATTATACTGGTCTGTTTTGGTTTCCATCCCATAAGCCATGTATAGACAACTATACAAGGGCAGATCAAATGTTTTACCAGACAGTCCAATCACCATACTGTTTTGCAAACACCTACACAGCCAGGTCACTGTCCATGCAAAACCGTCTTTTGTATGACTGCCATAGGTTAGATTGTAAGCTCCTTTGGGGAGCCAGATCCCGGTGGCCTACAAAGTGCTGTGGAGTCTGTCAGCGATCTAAACGAGTAACATAAATCTGAGCACGGATCAAACATCAATCCTTCACGGAGGCTCCAGTGGCGGGTCTGCCAGATCACACAGTGCATTGACAAAAGCATTTTACTGTATACACAACAAGGCAGGGGACAATGAAATGCTTCATCTTATATTGCCGTTTGGGCATCCCTGCCTCTGTCTTCAGAAATCCCGATGGACAGACATGGCACTCGAAAGCTTACACAGAGCTTCCCCCTCAGAGAAAGGGAGATTGCTACACACATGCAATGACATGCACAGGGGAAAAATACACACCACATGAGGATTGCTAAACTACAGACATATGTAAAGAGGAAAGAAAAATACTGTGTGTGTACAGATCTGTATATACATTTGTATTCTTTGAAAACATTTCGAAGAGTCAACCTCAGTCTCCCATTCAGTCATTTAATCATGTATCACTACAAATACACTCACTTGCTACAATTAGTAACTATGTTACAAACACATCATTCCAGGTCTGGCAAAGTGGGGTTTTTTTTTTTTTGGGGGGGGGGGGGGGAAGGTTGGCACCCTGATTAACCCTTTGCAGACAGAAGTCATGTACAGGGTTACAAAATAAATGTGGCCTTGTCATATTTACAAAAGAAAAAAATATGAGAGCTGCCCTGCTCAAGTTGCCCTGGAGGGCATGAAAAATAAAATGTGGCCCATCCATACCCGCTAGGCCTTTGGATCAGGTCCAGTTGGAGTTAGGGGATGAATGGATGACATGGAAAGGCTCTGTTATTTCTCAGTTCCTGTTGCCCAAGGGGCCTGGTAAGGGGTACTGTGTACTAGGGGAGCCCCCCATCCCTATGTACAGGGGCATATTTGCCACAAGGCAAACAAGGCATTTGCCTAGGGTGGCATTTTTCAGGGGGGGCAGCAGCATTTTTCAGGGGGCAACGGCATTTTTCAGGAGGGCAGCAGCGTTTTTTCAGGGGGCAATGGCATTTTTCAGGGGGACAGAGCCGCCCCCGAAAGAAAGGATGGAAGAAAGGACACACGCAGTATGGGGGGATCAGGTGGGGATCTAAGAGAGGCTGCGGGCTGCTTAATGGTGTATGCAGAGCCCGAGTCTTGTTCCCGGGGATGTCCGGAGCTGTGAAGGTGGGTATCTTCTCTCTAGCCGGGGGGGGGGGGGGGGGGATTGCCAGTGTATGGGGGGCGGTGGTAGTGGAAAGCTGTCTTGGGTGGGGTGTTGTTGGTCAATGTCAGGCTCTTATTGTGGGGGAGGGGGGTGTTTGCCAGTGTCAGGGTCTCTCCGTGGGGGGGGGGGGGGGGGAGAGTTGAGTTTGTGTTGCCTAGGGCAGCATGCAACCTAAATACACCATTGTCTATGTTTAATGCTGCACCTATTACTATGCACTCTGCCCCCCACCCTATGCAATCACATCCAAGTAGTAGCGAGGCCCACTTTGTATAAGACTGCACTTCTTTAGTATGCCACCTACTCCATTTTTTTGCTCTGGGACCCCCATTCTCTAAAACATATCTTTTTGGGGTGGGGTATGCTATGGTATAAGTGTACGGGTGGTATGGGATCCAGATGCAGACGGGGCTCTGGTACCTAGGGAGAAGGTAGACGTACTATTGAACTGGGTTACGGAATAGTATATGGAAGGGGGTGATTGCTACAAGGGGGTACAGCACCTGTAGAAGCAGATAGCTTTGTGGCGTTCAAGCATACAGAAGTTTTGTGACAGGGGTATGGTATGGTGCTTGCAACCAAAAAAAGGGTGCAGTGCTATAGTGGATAGGGGTCCTAATACCAGAAAAGTGGTGGAATTGGTAATTGTATTGTAGAGGGTGTCCGAATATTGAGAAGAGCTCCAGGACTCGAGGCGACAGTGTTGAGCTGTGGCAGAGAATAGTATATGGTATATAAGGTGATGCCCTAGTACTATAAGGAGATAATGGAGTAGTATTAGAGAAGAGAAGGAATAGAAATATTATATAATGCAGTATTTGGAAGAGTGGGGCCACCATACCTGGAGAAGATGAGGAAACAGTAGAGGTAAGGGTGGGGGTACTGTATGCTGCAGTGTTATAGAGATTGGGTACTATAAGAGAAGGTACTATGGGGTGGGGGAAGGGTAAGAAGAAAGGGTATGCAGTGTTCTAGGGAGCGGGGCTCCTCAGTACTACTAGTGAGCAGAATGGGATGGGGCCAAGTACTAAGTAAAGGGGTAGAATTGAGCAGGGCTGCCCAGGACAGAGGTGCAGTGTTCTACATAGCGGGGCTTCCCATGTACTATGAGGTGGTTTGGGGATTAGGTTGGGTACACAGTAATGGGATGCAGGGTTATACACAATGGGGCTCCAGTACTATGAGGGGGCAATGTTTCCAGCAAAAGGGGTGTAGTATTTTTAAAAGGTGGGGTCCCCCAGTAAAAGAAGGAAGTATGGTACATAGTAAAGGAGTGCAGCGTTATACAAATTGGGTCTTCCCAGTACTAGGAGGAGGGGGTGCATAAGGTGGGAGCAGGGTGCATAGTAGGCAGAGGATTAAGAAGGAGATTAAAGGGGAATATAATCAACATATATAAATATATGTGTTCCCTATAGTGAACCTAGGGTTAAGTTATTCACTTTAAGGTCGTTACAGAGGACAAGGGGGCACTCTTTACGTCTGGAGGAAAAGAGTTTAGTCTCCAAATACGGAAAGGTTTCTTCACAGTACAGCGGTGAAAATGTGGAATAGACTCCCTCAGGAGTTGGTTCTGGCCAGCTCAACAGATTGATTTAAAAAAGTCCTGGATTCTTTCCTAGATACACAGAATATAACTGGATACTAACACTCATAGGTAAAGTTGATCCAGGGAATATCCGATTGCCTCATGAAAGATCAGGAAGGATTTTTTTTTTTCCCCATTGGAACAAACTGGATCATGCTTTATTGGGGTATTTTGCTTTATTCTGGATAAACTGTGGGTATATGAATGTGTATATAGGGGTTTTCTGTGTGTGGAATTTTTTTATGTTGGTTGGACTGGATGGACGAGTGTCTTTTTTTTCAACTAGATTACCTATGTAACTATGTTATCTATGGGAATGGTGGGGGCTCCTTGGTACAATCAGGGTGCATTGTTATGCAGAGTAGATCAGTATGGGGTGGGGCAGGGTAAGTAGTGAGGAGTACACTCCTTATACAATCTGGGGTGGGGGCAGGGTGAAAAGTGAGTGGTTTAGTACAGGGTGGGGATTTTATGGAGTGGAGAAGTAGGCAGTGGGGATAGGGTGAACAGTGAGGGGTGCAGTGCTCTATAGGGTGGGGTGCAAGGGGTAGTACAGGGCGATAAGTGAGGAGTGCAGGGTAGTACAGGGTGATAAGTTTGAGGATGAGTGATGCAGGGTAGTATTAGGGTGATCAGTGTGGGGTGAGGGGTGCAGGGTAGTACAGGGTGATCAGTGTGGGGTGCAAGGTAACACAGAGTGATCAGCAAGGGGGTGCAGGT